GGGCAGGAGCAGGCAGGGTGCACGGGGCCGCGTGCCTGGCATTCCCCTTCCCCGGGGACAAGGAGAGCCTGGAAATAAGCAGCCACAGCTTGGGGCCATCAGCGGGGGCCACCCCGGGGCGGGGGGTGGAGGTGGAGATGGAGGGAGGCGGCCTGGGAGGGGTCCCAGGGGACAGCAGAAGTGTCACAGTGAGGCAGGGTAGGGAGCGGGGAGTTCCCATCCCTGCCAGCTCCCTGCCCGAGGTTTCAGCCCCTGCCAGCCCTGGTTGGCACCATCCTTCCCTTCCTGCTGCTTGGGGAGGCCTGAGGGACAATAGGTGGATTTAGGGGTGAAGGACAAGTGGGGAACCCCAAAGGCCCCCCTTCCAAGTCCATCCTCCCCACCCCAAGCTCTGTAGGTGAGGGCCAAGCCTGCCCCCGTGCCTCAGTTTCCCTGCTGTGCAGTGAGGATGCTGGTGTGTCTCATCCCAGAGCCAAGTCCCTGCAGCTTTCCCTGCCCTTTCCAAGTGCAAAGTGCCTCTTGTTGGGAAAAAAAAAACAAACATCTGTGACTGGTTTTAATGTCACCGAGTCCTTCCCAGGTTTGCAGCCTCCCCAGGGGTGGGGTGGTGGAGAGCCCAGGCTGAGGAGGGTTAATTTTGGCTGTACATTTAACTGTTGTTTGGTTTAGGTGGGTTTTTTTGGTTGTGTTTTGGTTTTCATACTTAGCAAACAAACAGTGCAGAGGTGAAAGCCTGGAAAAACACACCAGGACTTGAGGTGGTTGGATAGAGGAGGGAGGCAGGACAAGGAGCCTCCTTCCCCCTGCAAAATCCATTGGCAGCCCCAGTTCCTCTGTCTCATCCCCGGGAGCTTCTTCCAAAGAAAAAAAAGTGAAGGGCAAAGCAGGGGAACACACCGAGGCAGAGGGGACACGGGAGCCCCCATGGGGACACAGGAGCCCGCATGGGGACACAGGAGCCGCCATGGGGACACAGGAGCCCCCATGGGGACACAGGAGCCCGCATGGGGACACAGGAGCCGCCATGGGGACACAGGAGCCCCCATGGGGACACAGGAGCCCGCATGGGGACACAGGAGCCGCCATGGGGACACAGGAGCCCCCATGGGGACACAGGAGCCCGCATGGGGACACAGGAGCCGCCATGGGGACACAGGAGCCCCCATGGGGACACAGGAGCCCGCATGGGGACACAGGAGCCGCCATGGGGACACAGGAGCCCCCATGGGGACACAGGAGCCCGCATGGGGACACAGGAGCCGCCATGGGGACACAGGAGCCCCCATGGGGACACAGGAGCCCGCATGGGGACAGCCCTGGTGGCTGCTGCAGGGTTGGGGACCGCCCAAGCCCGGTCCCTCCCCAGCCGGTTGTGTTTGCCCTGCGGCTCTGATGACAGGCATGTGCAGAAATTCCGCCTCTCCTTGGCAAACATCGTTCCCGGCAAGTGTCAGCCGGCAGCTTCCATACTGGGATGGGAATGGGCACCAGTCCCCTCCATTCCATACCTCCCGCCCTAAATCCACAGCCCGTTTCACTGCTGTACCCCCTCAGCCCAGTCACCTGCCCAGTGCAGCCCCTCACTGGGTGGGTGATAATTCCCTGCACAGATTATAATTCTCTGTACAGGTTATAATTCTCTGCACAGATTATCATTCCCTGCACTCCCAGGAGGCTCGTGAGGAGCCCTTGGGCTGTGGGAGCAGGGAGGAGGAGGAGGACACCCTTGGGAAGCCCCCAGATCTCCTTTACCATGGAAATAGGGTGGTTTCCCACTGATTCCACGGGGTGTGGGAGGGAAGGAAAGAAGGGGAAAGGAGCAAAACCTCGAAAACACTCGAGGAGGAGGAGGAGAAGAAAGAACTGAGGGAGGGAGGAGGAGGAGGAAGAGGAGGAGGAGAGCAGGGCAGGGAGACAGAGAGGATTATTGCTCGGTTGAATTAGAGGGAGCGCTTCAGCTGCCTTGAACAGCAGGAGAATTTGCCCAAAGACCCCAATTCCTCCTATTTGGAATAATTTGTAAGCACAGGATTAACTGCAAACATATGCTTTAAAACCCAGG